ATTAACTGAACATAAGGTCGATGTGTGTCGTAACAGAATCATGGTGTCCTACCAATGTTTCAGATAGCGTTTCATGGTTAGACCACTATCACCCTCCAATAAGACATAGAGACCATACATGTACATCAGGTGAAGGAATTGTGTGCTATGTACATGCGAAAATTCCATTCTTGGTGTTCAAGAATTTAGCTGAAGAGAATGTCTAGTCAGTCTGGCTTAAATTGCAGCCCCAACGTCTTCCGCGGCTGTTTAATCCCATCGTGTTTGCAGCAATTTATCAGCCCCATAACGTCAGAGACAAGCATAACTAGAGTTTGAAGCAACAAACACACAGTGTTGGGCTAGAGGTTTGGCTTTTTCACATTGTTAATTGTTGATTGTTGTTGTTGATTGTTGATGTTGATTGTTGATGTTGATTATTGATGTCCATTGTTGATGTTGATTCTTGATTTTGATTGTTGATGTTGATTGTTGATGTTGATTGTTGATGTTGGTTATTGATGTTGATTGTTGATTTTTGATTGTTGATGTTTATTGCTGATTGTTGATTAGTTCATGATGATTGTTGATGTTGAGTTGATGTTGATTGTTGATGTTGAAGTTGTTGTTGATTGTTGATGTTGAAGTTGTTGTTGATTGTTCCTTGTTGATGTTGATTGTGGACAGTTGAATGTTGATGTTGATTAATGATTATTGATGTTGATTGTTGATTGGTGATGTTGATTGTTGAACGTTGATGTTGATTGCTGATGTTGGTTATTGATGTCGATTGTTGATTAAGTTTATGGTGATTGTTGATGTTGATTGTTGATTGATGATGTTTTTGATTGTTGTTTATTGATGTTGGTTGTTAAGGTTGATAGTTGATTGTTGATGTTGATTAATGATTATTGATGTTGATTGTTGATGATTGTTGATGTCGATTGTTGATTTCGATTGTTGATGTTGATGTTGATGTTGATTGTTGATTGTTGATGTTAATGTTGATTGTTCATTGTTGATGTTGATATTGATGTTGAGGGTTAAGGGTTGAACAATACGGTTAAGGGTTTAACAATACGGTTTGTAGTAATTATACAGACAATAATTAAAAAGAGTTAGGTGAGGATCTGCACGCGTATGCTGCTGTAGTGTAAACTTATCGAGTACAATAGCTACAAAAACCCATTAAATAGCTCATATCTCTAAAAGTAAAGGTCGTACACCATTTGTGCAATACAAAAAATTGCTCATCATACACTCTTTACCCCATGCGCATGTTTTTAGAAAAAAAAGCGCCCAATTAAAAAAAAAAGTGCCTGATTGCGGGCCCAATCTCAGAATTTCATATGACGTCATCCAAAGTAAAAAATGTGCTTCCATTAAGAAGTTGTCATGTAAATGTATACAATACACTGCTAAACACTTAAAATACATTGGTCTATCAAACAGCCATTACACGTGGCTCAATAATTAACATAAAACAGTCGTAAAACCAGACACTTGGGGAACCGGGGGAAACCCCTTTTGTTCGCAATCATCCCCCATTTGCTGTACACACGCCATACCGTACAATGTACATGGCATTCATGAACCTTCCAAGGCGTATGCGTTGTCAACTTCGAATTTCAAAGGGGCTGCAGGGCATCTTCTAATTAGCTTATCGTAATGAAACCTGGGGAAGTTTTAGACCTATTATTAAATTGTCATTTGAAGAACAAATCAAGATTAAATCTGTCAGGGTTGATTTTCCAGGAATTTTCAAAGGAAAAGAGGTCTTTGCATTCTAACTTCCGGTCTGATGATGTAATCAATTTTTTTTTTGCGCACCGGTCTTGTTTGCATTAAGGACATCATATATATTAAATTTTGAAGCGATTACCGCAAATTTCACCACAGACATCAACTGAAAATGCGTTTTTGACATTTTTTTAACCTGCCGCTAGAGGGCGCTCAAACACTTCATGGCATCACATTTTTTTGGAAAGGTCATCCCAGCCAGACACTAACATTATTCAAAGCAAGTTCATATCTTTTTCCACTTTCAAATAATTAGGCACTTCCGGTTTCGACCGAAAGGAAGGGTTACGTGATTTGACACGCACATGATAAAATGAAGATCATGTATTATCATGTCGATTCCCGGTCTCTCACTAGAGATTTTATATTGAATTTCAAAGATTAAATTTATTGTTTTTGGAAGTGACGTCACGTGACCCATGATGACGTCATAATGATGTAATCACACACAAAAAAACATCTCCAGTGGGTTGTGCATTCATGTTTTGACAGTTGAAGTTCATATGTTTTCATTTTGACAAACAGTTCTGGAAATGAAGTTGCTGAGGAGAACAATAAAAAAAACCCAGTAAATTCTAACAATAACAATAAGAGGTTTGCGTTTGTTGAATTACAAACGCAGAGTGGTCGGGCAGGCAAGTTTTTCATTAAACACTGCCCAGTTAAGTTATGAATATGTTTATGTAATGTGGCGATCCGACTTGAAACAAGACTTCACTCCGCCTTGAGACAAGTCTGTTGTTTATCGTTTACAGCGTGCCGTGTGCAACATTGTGCATGTAACCACATCACTGCTACCATGCCGTGCATGTGCTTAGGTAAAATAAGCCCATAAATGTAATTGATCTATCTCCATACAAATTATTAGACATAATCAATATTTGTAATTAATCATGATCATTACCTTTGAATATTCCTGTCATAATAATAGCGAAACAATGTTTGTAAATTGTTATATTATGCCGGATATGTAGGCCCAGTACTGTAATCTTACGCGACGTGCTTCGGCACACTACATGAAACCGTCCTCTCTCTTGCTGGAATTCCCTTTATAAAGAAGTAAGTTCCACTTTCTCTGCAAATCTCACTTATTTTGCACATTTCATTCACCGAAATATCTTATTTTGAGCTAACCATGTTTATGAATGCAGGTTCATAGCACATGTGGACCGAGTGTAGGCTCAGACCAAAATCAGAATCTGTCATTTTTGACAAGTTTTCTGTGTAGCACTTTCGGGAAACTGTGTGTGAAGTTTTGTGTGAAGATTAATCGTGTGACTTTCACGTGAAGCATACGGTCGTTTCATGTATGGTCTCAACGACTATTTATGTATTCGCTCTGTGTGTTGTTTACACAGGTTGACTCTTATAAGTGGAGAGAGCAGGTCTGCACGGTGCTCATAACTCAGATATTTACTCATAATTAACTCAGACTACATTTTGCTCAGTACATTTTACTCATATCATAATTAAGCTCATAACTCATACTTGAGATTTAACTCTATAGCTCATATCCTAAACTGTATTACACCATAATTATTTTGGGTACGTACACCTGGGCAATATATATTGCTGGATACTTGTTTAAAGCAAGACAGTGAGATAACTATATTTCAATATTTGACGATATTCTTGTAAGCTGATGTGAAATACATATAGTTCACCATTGCAGATTTAGATGAATATTTGTACTGATATAGTGATACAGTGCTTACATGTAGAACATTTACACTGTGATAGCTGAGCATATGGCAGGTTCTTCAAAATATAGAGCATTTAACAACCTGTCATTGCATTTTTCAAAAATTAATTTCAGATGTTTCAAAACAACCGACATCATGACATACATCTTGAAGTTCATAAAAATGCACATGTAGGGATAGTTTAGGCAGAAGTTCGCTTTTTATTATCGTTTTGGTAAGTATAGTAATTACCAGTAAAAATCAAGGCAGTTTGTATCTTTATGTAAAAGTTGTCAAGGTAAGGGCTTAGAGACAAAAATGTTTTTTTGAATCACGTGCCCATAAGTAGACTTTCATATAAAATTAATGAAATCACAGAAAACAAGACCCATGCAGAAATTCAGTTCGACAAAGAAACACATAATTTTGACAGAAAATCAAGGCAAAAACTGCCTTGTTTTTATTTAATATTGGCACAATTCGAAAACGATTCACCTTACATGTTTTTCGGCCAACGTACATTGCATTTGTGTAAAAGAATCCATTTAGCATGCTCTATTAAAAAGATTCATATTCTGAAACATAGTAGTTTCGAACGTCAGAATTGACGGAATTTTGATGACGTTCGATAATTTGGACGGACTTTGAATGACGTTCGAGAATCGTTTTCATTTTGACGCACAGTCGGCTTGACAAAGGATGTTACATATTCCAAACGATGTTCATTGCAGAAAACAGAATAATGAACGTCACAAAGTACAATTCCAGAGTTCATACAGTCAGGTTTACGACAGTTCCACCTGCACCCCACAGAAATTAATAATGACACGCACACCCCAACCCAGAATTGGTCCCGGGCATCGAATACTGTAGATTTTTGTTATCGACTGGTACCCTGCAAGTCACGTGTTTTTTGCACAGTTTTTGTGAAGAAGAAAAATTGACGATCGGAGGATCAACGGCTGAACTAACCAGATAAGTTTTTAGTTGACGGAATTAGCATGACGTTCGAGAATTGCTGTCACGTCGTTCTTTGCGGGTGAACAAGTAGTTTTAGGCGCAAAGTGATCATATTAAATTGTGTAGTCAGCTCACTCAGCTGTATTAACGGAGATAAAAAGTTAGGAAAACTCGGGAAGAAAAATCTCTATCTTGCAATCCTGTGCACTCGTCTCTAAATATTAGTTAGCGCGGCTCGCACACGTCATGCTATTTCTATCAAGCAACTTTGACGACAACGCATTATCCGTGAGAAGGTTGGAACCTGGTGGGAAACGTCCATTGAATTTGATTGGGGTGAATAAAGGGTAATGACTTACCATTATGCAATTAAAAGGGTTGTTGATACTTCACGCAAACGCATACGAATGCGAGCTAACCGTGAAGACGTCATAATGGAAACTTGCGCAAAATGAAACGTTATTCAAACAAGAGCAAATCCGTCATTCGCCGCGAAATCAATCTGCCGTAAAACTTCACTGGCTGGCTGGGCATTCCCGTTTGCGTGAAGTAAGGACATGACATATCGTGAAATAATAATCATGTTTGCAGTGGGAAGCGGGTCAGGTCATCACAAGAATTCTGCAGGTTGGCGAACTGGCAGCAGTGGTGGGTCGCATTGTACGGCATCTTCACGAGGCTGAGCAACAATAATTTTATCAATATCAAATCCACTAAATTTGGAATAATTTATCAAATGCAGAAATTGCGTGATATTTTCCTATGCTTCAACACCCCTACCATGGTGTAGATTTTCGCAAATGAAAAGAACACTTGCAGATTACCTAGTCACCTGCCATGTTCTTCAAAAATACGAAGCAAATCGAGTAAAGAAATTGTTAAGATTTGCGAAAATGTAAATTTGAACACATTTCAACTTTAGAAAGTCATCCCACAAGCAATTAAATCACCGCTAAGTTCACTTGGCACTCACGTTTGCATGAAGTATGAACAAGACTTATCATGATAATTGAAATGCTTGAAAGGGAGCAGACCATCACAGCAATTCTGCTGTTTGAAGTAACAGCAACAATAATTAAACATACTGATATAAGATTTGAGGCTTTGCATGGTGGGGTATCGGTATCGTTTCGGTTTTGCGGTAACACCATGTGGTAATAACTACTGCTTAGAAGATATTAGTTCTGAGAAGAACTTGTCCTGCTTATTATCAACTTGCTAAGTAGTTTTTGTTCTGTTTAGAACAGTCTCCTGACGATGACTAGAGCAGGCTAGTCGAAACGTTGAGACCAAAGACAAGTTCTTTTAGAACTTACAGCAGGACTGTTCTAAACAGAACAAAAACTACTTAGCAAGTTGATAATAAGCAGGACAAGTTCTTCTCAGAACTAATATCTTCTAAGCAGTAGTTATTACCACATGGTGTTACCGCAAAACCGAAACGATACTAATAATTAAACAACAATAATCAGCAATAATTTTAATAGCAACAAACTGCAAAGTCCGGTTTGTACTTCATGCGATCACGTAACCATGGACATTGGAGGCGACAATTTCCGCTTCCGTTCACGTCCACAATGAACCGGATTTTAAGAATATTGCGAAACATTCAAACATTTAACACTTGAAGTAACAATTCGTCACCGACACCACGAAGTGACCTTAACCCCCGCGAAGTGGAAAATGTGTGTTTCGAGATACAAGCGATTTAAGTTGGTGATGTTTTGAAACGGTGATCTGAACATCGTAGCCTCCAAATTCATATTTTTTTACATTGTCTGAAAGCTGGGATCTTGAATGTCACGTTCATGTATGATTTTTATTGAAAACAAATAATATTAATGAGTTATCAACTAATTAACCTTAACGTCACTTCGTAAAAACTCTAAAATCAGAATACGCGCTGTTCGAGTTTTCACGAAGTGAGGCTAACCATGTGTATTAGCTAATGGGTTAGCGCTACTTCGTGATGACGCCAGAAGTGAGTCGCGCGTATCACGTGACATTTGTGTTACTTCGTGAAAACGCAAAACCCGTTTTTAGTGTGCAAGCAGTTTACATGCAAAAGAATGGTATGGTTCACTTCGTGAAAACGCATTTTCTGGTTTTGACCTATTAAGTTGCAAACGCTCATTAATGTTAATTAATGTTTTGACAAAACTAATTAACTATGTGTTTAGTAACTTCTTGAGGTGATAGATTATGTGTAATTAATCACAAATCAGGAAAAAAATCGAAAACGTAAAATATTGATTTGTTGATGTTAGTGTCACTTCGTGGTGACGGTGACGAATTTATCGAAGTGTCAATTTATAAATTCACTTAATATTCACTGAATAACGGCATTTCGTTTTATATGGCCTAAGCATATACCACTACAACTAAGGGGCTTTCTATGTCACTGTTACTGAACACGCTAGATTCATTTGACTGTTTATCGATGCTCGACCAAACTCACAGTTGATTTGAAACATTAAACGTATTAATACAACGATTGCGATCCTCTGATGTAAGGGTCATCTTGATTCTGCTTCCTATAACCGTCCATTGTGGGTCAACATGACAAAGATAATCACAGCGGTTCTGCCATGACGTATCTTCATTGTCGGGCCATACGTAGTAGGAGCCTGACTTTGAGAGATACGATAGACACATTGCCGTCTCTGTGACATCCATCACCTGTAAGAAAAAAAATAAAAATCGAAAGTCAGCAGTCTTTGCGAAAAAAATATAATGCGCTTAAAAGTATTGTCTTACATGTTTGTTTATTTTTGAAATGCTTACTATGGCCTACCTTCGCTAAGTACCAGTCAGATGTACCTCGCTTCCCGTGTAATTTAACAGCAACAAAGTGACCACATTCTATGGCATTCGGTCGAATGGAGGCTGGATCTGATGTAACAATAGACAAGGTAAGTCGCCTGATTAAACTTTAAAAGAGGAATACAAAAACATTGCAGGAGGACGCAAAACGAAGGCAAGTATTACCCGAAGGCGGGGGTACAGGAGAGGCACTCCGAGAAGACTGACGAATTGGAGCCGATTGCGGTTCATTTACACTCTCCGGCTCTGATCCTACGGACGCGTCATTTAGTTCAGTCGCTGCTTTCGACACTCCTGCAACAACATTATTAATACACTTAAATTAATAAAGAAGAGAAGTACAAGGGTAATAAAGAAAAGAAATATGTCACGGAGAAAAAAATGTTTAAAGTAATACAAAATAAAAGCTCACTCACCTTTTCTGTTCCTCGCGTGTACATTTCTGATTGCTTTTAGGCTCAACTGCTTTATCTCGAACTTGCCTCCAGTGTAAGTCGCGTTCGTACACATTTCGTTGTTGTTGAGAAGGCACGGGAAGCAAAAGCAGGACAATCGGCGCACCTTGAGCTTATAGGGGGCAGCAACCTGAATCTGATGGTATCCACGAGATCCCTTGAGTGTGGTGACATCGGTTTCGGGTCTCTCTCTGCTAATTTCATCCTTTGCCACGTACACAAAGGACCGTTTTGAATACATCGAATCACTGGCCAAATTTGCACAACACCACCCCCACATATCCTTAGCTGAATTAATCACAACTTTGCGCCCCAAAATAGCTTGATCAACTGCTCGATTTACCACCCCAATTTCTCCATCGCCCTCTCCCTTTCCATGTTCGGATCCAAAGTAGTTGCGTTCTCTGGCATCTGACGACAAGCTTAGATCGGCAAAAGTACCTTTCCCTTTATATTGACTTTGGCACCCGTCACTCCAGAGCACTTCTTTGTCTACTTGTTGCATGTTGCTTGCGAGGTGTTGCGAGGCCATGTTCAGGTAGTGTTCAACTGCGTGGTAATCATGGCGGATATCGTCTGAGAGAAAGATCATAGAGTCCCGAACGAGAGTGCCATTTTGTCGATAATACATAACGACTGGGTGCATCGTTATCTGCATCTGTCCGTAGTATGCAGCCTTGATCTCATCCTGGTAGAATACCTTCCTGTTTTGCCCAAAGTCCATAACCATCATCGCCCAATTTTCAGGGAGGTGTTCTTTCAAGTTCGAGTACTGCCGGTGCTGCCATCTTGCCGTGACAATGTGCTTTACAAACGAAACACCTTGAACAGGCCTCTCAGCATCGTTTATTAGTTCCTCAAGAACGTCGCCCATCGACCCTTGCTTGGTTTTAAGCACACGGCGTGGTTTTCCTTCTATGACCTCCACTCTTTCCCAATGGAGCCAATTCCACGTTCCCCTTGCTTCTTTGATGACAGGCTCGTACATCTTTCGTATGGTGTCACCCAAATTGCCACATTTGTCACAAGTACCAAACACGCACTCCTCATTTTGAAATCTCTGAGAATCTGAAACCGGACACAACAACTTGTTGACAAACTCGTACTCATCAGCTATCTTCACGACTCCACTTGTTGACTTTGTTGTGTTGATGACTCTGTTAACAACCATCAGCTTGTACTTAATGTTCATGCAATAAACGCAAGTACACACTTCGTGGTGAACCTTTGACAGCAGACGAACATTCTTGGGTCGTAAGAAGGTGAACTTGGAGTAGCTCACTCTCGAGTCGGGATACTCTTTTTGAAACATTCGGTGGGCGGCTGTCAGTGACATTTGCAAGACATGTCCAGGACCGTGTTTGGTTGCGTACCTCTTTAGTGGTAATTGCCTAGAAATATCTTCCCGAAGATAAAACGATGTTATCTTCTGTCGCAGATGAACTGACATCTTCCCACGTCCCACATGTCGTCGATTTCCACTGGTGTGTATCGCTCTTCGGATTGTTCCGGAGTTTAGCTTTAAATGTTTGCTAATTTGTACTTTGGTTGCGAATTTGATTGAAGCACAGGCGAAATGCTTTAAAGCTTCCCTGCCCCCTTTGTTTTGCTTTATTTTTTCCGCTATTTCCTTTATTTTGGGACTGAATGTCGTTGCTTCGGTCAGTCCCTTGTTTTTGAGAGCCTTCTTTTTTCGCGGTGAGGAGTTTTTGACTAGTCCGCAGACAACTGATGCAAATTTTTCAGGTGATTTGGGGAGAGCCTTTCGCGCCTTTGTTGTGTGATTTCTGAGAGTTTTGAGTGACTGGTAGCCTTGACGTTCAGTGTTCTGTTTCTGTTGCCGTTCTTGTTCTTTTCTCAGAAACTCTGCTCGTTTTTGTCTTTTCCGGTTTCTATCCTTTTCCTTGATTCTTCTTAGTTTTTGCGGCCTTTCTTTGAGCCTTTCTCTCTCTGCTTGTTTTCTCTCTCGCCAGTAGGCTTGTTTTGCTTCTGTGGCCGCTCTTGTTCCTGTTGTTGGCGCTGTTGTTGGGGCTGGTGTTCTGTCCATGTCACGTGGTTTCCTGAAATTTATTTTCACTTTAGGTGGATTCTTGTTTTGATTATTTTTCTTCTTCTCCATGTACTTCTTTTGCCTCGCTCGCCCTTGTTCGCGTTTTCTTTTTAGTTGTTCGAGCGCAGCTACAGACGGTTTTCGTTTCGCTAAATCTTCTTTAAATTTGTCCCTACGTTGCTTGGCAGCCTTCGCTTGCGATTGAAGGTATTCCTCATATTTTGGGGGATTGTTATGTTTCAGTTTGTTTCGATAGTATGTTGCCTTGCTCATGTTTGAAGATGAAGGTAAGTATTACGGGTGGTTAGTAAGCAGATGATTTTGGATATGGGATTGGGATGGTGTTAGTGCAGTGCAGCTTTTGAATGAAGTGAGGCTATGAAAGGTGGGGTGCAGCTGTGGTAGATGGAGATGGATCTAAAAAAAAAAAAGACGAGCGTGAACAATAAAAAAAACCAAATATTTAATAACAATTCATAATGAATGCGTGCAAATGAGACTTTTGTTAAAAGTGTTTTATTTTGGCATTATTTTCTAACTTTCAAACACCATGGCACACCCAATTAAAAGCTGTGAAATTCGTTTCGCCGTATATACAGTTTTGCCCGATTTCCGGACACTTTCCAATTACAACCTGGTACATAATTATATATTCAAGCTACAAAATTTAATTGACAAAAATGTAAGTCAGTTTCAGATGCATCCATTGAGAAATATTCATAAACCTCTAGGCGTACCCAAATAATAATACAGTTCCGATAACGTACGCCTAAAACTGCACTTAAAACTTTGATTTTTTTAAGATAAAATTTGGGGTAAATTATTTCCCCTAAAACAAATGGTTTACGAAGTAAATGCCATTCAAGAGCTGAAATATATCTTGAAATTTGATCAAAATCACATTTTTTTTACTCTTAAAACAAACACACTAAACCTCTCCCTCGGTTTAAAGAAACCCAGAGATGGCATTTTGATTTTTTCCGTCAAAATGACGCTCGATATTACTATCCGTCAAAACGTGACTGACGTTCGCGTCATATTTTACAAGTCTGTCAAATAAATGACGTACGCAAAACAATCCGTCAATATACTGACGTTCGTAACTTTCTTTACCTGATCACGCGCGCGTATAACGTTTCCAAGTATGGCCGCTCACGCCGCGAACTCTCAACGCACTGCGCCGTGTTTTTAAGCCCTATTTTTGTCTCCAGAGCATTCTGGAATTGTCTTGCCAGAGTTTATCTGTTCTCGATCGTCATATTTATCGTACGTCAGATATTTGACAGATTTTATTCAAGCTGATCTATCGTAATATACGAAAGTGTGTGGAAGTTTGGAACTTACCGTGCGTGATGCATCAGCGATGTATGAAAAAGAAAGTCGCTTAGTATTATGGGTCGGGTCAAGGTTCATCACGTGCACAGCAGCTAAGTTTTTATCGAACGTCAGCGTCTTGTTGACGGACAAATATATTTTCTCGGTACACGAATTTGAAGAATTGTTTGCGTGAAATGATAAGTAAGTAACATGGTTATTTAGATATCGAATTAATCTGTGTAATATAAGGTTTCTGACACGAAATCGCCAACTTCGTTTGATTTTTTATTTTGTCTCAAATTTCACGTGTTAAATTTTGTTGACAGTGTGACGGAATTTCATGACGTTCGCAACTGATTTAATTTATAACGATAATTCCGTAGAATATTAAACATTTCGAGTTTCTTTTTCGTTTGTATACTATTAGAAGACATCATCTTCTACATCGACATATTAAACAAAAAACCTTTACCGTTAACATCATGATGATTGGAAAACAGTTAACTGATGAATTCCTTCCCTGGCCTGAGGGACTTAATTCCGTCAAAAATGCTGACGTTCGGGACTCGTTTTTGAAAGTTCCAGTTTAAGTGGAGGGACTTGAAGAACAACGTTATAGTAAATATAAATTTAGGTGTCTTTCAGCACATTTCACAATACAAAACATTTCTACAACGTGCACTTTTGAAAATCGGAGTGTGTCAATTTCAATATTATTTATTGCACCACAATTCAAGGAACCTGCCATATCTTTGACATACTACACATATTGCCAAATATTCTTGATACTTTTGTTGCTGGTGGCCCACCACTGGTGTTCTTTGGCATAAGCTATGGTATAGGGTTTTATTATAGCCTTTGTGTCTTAGCATAATACTTGTCAACATCCTTTAACTGATTTGACGTGACAGATATTTTACTCAAGCTTAGAATATTTTAATTGACTGATTGCTGGGTAGTATTAATTTCTCTCACTAATTGTCTTCAATTTACTCAAACAAAATTAAGTTTTATTAATTCATTGGAAAACATCTTGACAGTAAATATTGCCTTCAATTCGTGCTCATTTCTGATTGTTTTTCCCCTTTAATTGCCAAGGGGATCTATTCTCAATCTTTAAGCGGACTTACCACGTTAGGCAGCAATTACCCTACGCGTAACCGTGACAGTAAGAACAAAGGATAGCGAAATTAAATACTTTCCATCACAATCAATATTTTGTTTTAAATGCATCTTTAACGGTGTGATAAATTTCCATAAACATTCTGTGTACACATGATGATGTCATTATTCAAGAACGGGAAGTGAATACTGATTTAGTTCGGAGTGGATAAATGTTGACTGTGAAGTTTAATAAGGTGTGAAAATATGGCAAATGTGAGTGTATGTATTCATAACACCTAACTTCCTAACTTGATGACGTCACTAGTATTTGGAAGCAAAAGATGAACATTGTAATGGATATCGTTATTTGGGCTACAAAGATATACGACATGAATTCAATTTAATAAATGATCGTTTTTAAATTCTCCTTGAAGTAACTTCCTGTCTGATGACGTCATGAATTTGAAACCATGCCAAGTTATCTGTTGTTAATCAAAGAATATCAAGGGGCGATTTGGTTTAATTTGAACGGATGGTTTCCAAATTAAAGGAAGCAAACACTATTTTATGTGCCGCTAGGGGGCGCCCTTTCGAATGATGACGTCAACCATTTTGTCAACACATTGTTTTTTGTGTCTAGCATTCCTCACACTTTCATAATTTATATATGTGTAGTAAAATGCTTCTGCTTTTGAGTTATATTAGTTTTTTATTGCACTTTTCGGTAACACCGGAAGTGAAGGTCAAGAGGTTCTGTGTCCGACAAGAAGTGTTTCTGAAGGCATGTTCTACAACCTCACAAAAAAATGAACACAATATTCTAATTACCGTAGTTCAAAAGATACAGCGCAAACTATTTTGTCAAAATTTGCCCTTAAATCGCTTGTAATTTGATACCTGATGACGTCATGATGACGTAACAAAATTTATAACATCTTCGTAACATGGTACAAGTTCACACCATGTTTTATGATCATACCTTAAACCGTTTGGAAGAAAATTTGCTTTGTTTTGATTTCAGGCTAAAGTCTTCATTTTGAATTCACCTAACTTTGACCCTCCGGTAGACCCGGAAGTAAAGGTCAAGCGAGTTAACGTACATGACAAAAAAACGTTTATCAATTAATGGTCTATCTGATTACTGAATACAAACATCATCGATTATTTTGTTTAAGAGTTATAGATGAAAGTAATTGGTCACTTTCCAGCTAAAATTGCTTGTAATTTGACACCCGATAATGACATCATGACGTCAGAGTAATATGCACCACTCGGGATGAGGGTCGATATATATTGAAAGTTACAAGTTCATACCTTGAACCTTTTAGGAGAAAACCCGTGGAGAAGTATTGTCCGAAAAAAAGGAAAGAAAGAAAGAAGATTTATGAGAACAAATCCTGACAGTGGTCGGGTTGTGCCTGACCACTCAAAATGCAAAACAAAACAAAGCAAATATCAGAATTTCTTCTAGTTACAATGTTCTTCCAACAGTTTCAAAACAAGTTTTGCCCTTTTTCATTTTGCAGTTTCTTCGTGATGAGCTCCAGTACAAGACTGACTTTGAACGTCAGCACACATTGCATGGGGAAGATAAATTTATCAGTGTTGATGACCTATGGATTGCCTGGAAATACTCTGAAGGTTTGTAACAAGAAATTACACATGTACCTTTATGGACTAAGCAAAAAATAGCTGAGAACAGTCATAAAACAATGTGAATCACATGACAGTTTGTAAATTGTTATGCTAAACAAATTTTTTGGGCGTTAAGCATAAATGTACTGGTACATGTATCTGTGCATGCAATCTGTACATCTCTCAGAAATACATGTATAGACTATTCACAATAAGTTTACATAATGTACCACAGAGAAGTCCCAACAAAGATGATGTCATGTGCACACATA